GTGTAAAAAATATTTCTGCTAAACAATTGACAAGTTGATGAGCAATAGATGCTCGTTTACAATAAGCTTCAGTTACTTGTACTGCAGTATATTTTCCATTTGCTATTTGATGAGCAAGTTCTTCCATATCATTAATTTCTGTAATTTCAAGATCAAGTTCTGAAAGTATTCCACATTGATATGGAACTAATGTTAAGTTTTTTGGAGGATTTTTGAGAATACTTTCAGATAATCTCCATTTTTGTGGAATTGAATTGTAAATGGAGGCTCGTTTTTGAGCAGCTTTTTCTTGCCAAGTTTGTAATGAAGACATTGAAGGTTTGATTTATCTTATCTGTAATAACTGAAGATAAAAGAAGTGTGAGTTTGAATGTTTTTTCAAAATAAATTTATATCTAACCTTGATTTTGACTGAGTCTTTGAATTACCAATGAGAGAAACACAACTCATTGCACCAAGCTGTTATATGAGTAGATAAGGTTTGACAAAAGGAGGTCGCTAAATACGTTGAAGAGTACTGTAAGTAAAAATATAAAAAAGACCCATTTTATATATCTGCATTGAATGCATGAGAACGAGAGTCATGCATGTGTATATACAGTTGATATATTTCTAACTGAAAGTGGCAGCGATATTGAAGACATGAATTCTTTCTGTTAAATAAAAAGTAACAAAAAAAAACCATCATTTATTTAATGCATGTCTGATGTCTTTGTACACACATAGACGTTTGTTTCACAAAAACAAAAATGAGGCTTAACGACGATTGCATAATTCTTTTGGTTTTTATGGCGAAAAGGTAAGTATGACAAATAACAACGATCAACAAAAAAGGTACAGTGTAATAACGAACGAACTAACGAAAAAACAACATACGCCAATAAATTTTTATTATTGTTTTCATCGCTTCTGTTTTCTTTGCTCGTGTCTAGACAATGAGTAGCAGAGGCCCAAACATGGCATTGGGCCTGCCTGCGACAAACACAGGCTCTGATTTTCGAGTCTGTCACAGACCATGCAGGCTGCCTATCGTGTGTTTTCTAAATTTTCAATAAAAAACTTCATTTTTTGAGTAGAAAGCGCAGATATCAAAATATAATACAGAGAATCTTTGCTCTGAAAGATAAGAAATGATTTTTGTATCAGTTTCACTCACCACAATCATGACTATTAATAAATTATAACTACATTGTTCGTTGTCCATTTATTTATTTACTTAATTTATTTATCCGTTTCGGTAGGTTACTGATTGCACTTATTAATTGGTTGTTATTAAGATTTTACATAAAGTGTTTATGAACGATTATGTTCCTGATTCATATTTATATTGTTGTAATGCGGTCGAACATAATAAGTCCTCGTTAACTAATTCATCAAATTCAGTAGAAAAAAAGTTTTACTCAAAAACAGTTTTTTCAAAATGTTAAAAGCTTTCTTTTTGTCTTTACTCAACAGTTACATATCTCATTAAATCAATAGATCTTTCGCTTAATCATGTTATTTTGATATCAGCAACTTTCTTGTTTTCTTATAGAGACAGTTTTCTACTTCCATTCAATTATCATCCTAATATTATTATGCAAAAAAAGTACATAGATCTAAACAGGCAGGTCAGGCTTACAAAAAAATAAGCCTATTTGGACCTCTGATGAGTAGCAATGTGCAGATAGAATATGTAAACAAAAAACTGATAAAGAAACGTTATATCATATTTTTCTTTTCATTCCTTCTTTCGATGTGATTGAATCTCATCAAAAATTTTTGTTTTCACTAATTTTCTATATTCTTCTACCATGTTGACTACCTTGAACTAATGATAATGCATTAGAATAAATTGATTTCTGTTCATTAGACTTCATTCATTTCGTTTCTCCATGAACATTGATTTACAAACATTTAATGTCTGAAAAATTTATTAACTAAGCACCTTTAGCATCATATTGAAAGGATTGTCAAAACTGAACAAATGTTTAAGAATCAGTTCTCTAGAGGCATGTCCTCTCACTTTTTCTTTGTTGGTTTCTTAGCATAATTTATCAGATCTCGTCCAGTTCTACATATTGATAGGCAGTAGTGGTTTTCAACATCAAGGATATTTTGACATGAGGAAAGGCAAAGAACAATGTTTTCTCTTATGTTCATGCACTATCGGATAGGGCACTGAAACAGCTTAATTTCTGGTAGAGCTCGGCTGAGTATATAAGCAGTTGAATGCAGTATTTTTCATGAAAATAATCTATGCTCTAATCTTTCTGAGAACATAAAACATTGTTAAATCTTGATTGGCTCAGTCACTTGGTATACAATACCGAATTCATTAAAAGATCTACCTTAAAAGGTAAGTAGCTGCTTCATAACGATATACTCTTTCCGTGAAGTTCGTCGTTGTTCGAGTTTTGAAATAATGAAAATGAAGATAGAATAAAAAGTTGACCGTCAGTTTATTTAATCAACTGGTTTTATCTATTATGACTGTAAGAACAGCTGAAATCTATTACGACAATAAATGTTTGATTCGAATAAAATTTAAATATCTTTTAGAGAAAAATGTTTTTGTGATAAATTGTGAAGCCGATCATCCATTCTTTTTTTATGAAATATCAACTTTTTTTCAATGATCAACATTCAGAGCTTCGTACTGCATTTTGAAAATTGAGTAAAACTCGAATATCATATAATATTAATTAGTTTTTCGCATTTATTATTGTCAGAAAAATGTCAATAATCTTTCATATCTATATATTTTAAAGGTATATTATGTCTATGTAATTATGTATTTTAATCTGTTTGATTTTTATACGCAATACAACATCATAGGAAGAAGTAAAAATTACTCAAGCGAGGTCAACTATACAGAATGATACGAAAACCCACGAGGAATGCTTTCAAAAAATGAACTAAAAGTCCTTTTTGTAAGAAAAGAAAACATTCTTCATCGCACTATTTTGGAAAGATTTTTACTTTTGTAAGTACGTTTTGTTTTGTAATACATTCTCTATCGTTTTATTTGATCAATTTTTGTCACACAACATTTAAAGAATAAGTTTCAAATTCGTTAAGATATTCATGTTCGTCTATCAAAAGAGTATTACTACACTTGGGAATACGATCATGATTTGTAATCATCTTTGCCAAGCTGTCTAAATACTTTATCATATGTCATTCATTACCATTTCATTTATCATTTTGATTTGAAATTATTTCAAATTAATTGATTGAATTTCATCATAGAAAACATGCTGCACATATTTTCATACTAATTTTTACACAAGATAATTCGTAAAAATTGCTATGTAATTAATAGAAACATAAAATTTCTCAAAGAAAATATTCTATAATATGCTACATATTCCCAAAAGAAATATAAATTAAAAATGTTCTAGATTTTTCTTCTATTTCGTATAAAGAAAAAAAAATATATATATAGATGTTTGTGGAGAAGATTCTAAAATTTCCTCGAATATATCTTAAAGTATACATTAAAATATAATCAAATTCATGTAACATCTTATATTAAATGTAAATTATTACATGTGCGCTTGGAAACAAACTTTTGTGCTTCTACATTGAACTCAATGGGTTTAAAATCATTATTAAGTAATTAAGCTTTCTAAATTTTTCTAGAATCTATTTAAAAAAAAAAAATTCTATTCTTCAAAACAGGTATCTTAGATACTTTAAATTGTTGAAATTCTGTTGTATAACATATACGGAAATGAAGTTGACTTCACAAATATTGTAATAATATGGAACAGGAAATGTTTGACAAACAAAGGTAAAGTTGTTTGAAGAGTAAACTCATTATCCTTGATATTGTTTATAGGACAGGTTCGAAACAATAAAAAAACAAAAAAATCTAATTTGATAAATATATTTTTCTCATGCTTCTCAATTTATAATTTAAATAGATATTTCAAAATAAATTTTATAAAAATAATCTTTACATATCGAAAACAGATTATCTTGTTTTGACACAAGTCCGATACTACTTTTTTAAATAAAAAGTCTCTAATAACTTCTTATGTGTGGGCCAAATTACTTTTTCAATTATAGACATCAATATAGAAAGAAAGAAAAGTGTCATTAATTTTAGAAACAAGATAAAAATTTGTTTCACACTTTCTAACTTGTGCAATATATATATATATACTTAAGAACGTTAGAGAACTATTCAATTTAAAACAAATGATCGAGAGATAATTCACCTTTTATGCTAAAGATTGTTTTTTATGCAATATGTTAATTAATCAGGATATAGTAATCTGAATATTTTTTTTTTCTCATTAAGAGTCTGATATGACAAAGAAAAGGTTGACATTTTAAAAATGCATTGATTGATTATTATTGTAAAAAATGATATTTTTTTTTCACGATTGTTAATTAATAGAAATATATTTAATACGTAAACAGTTCTTCTCTCTATTGTTACACCTTCATGAAAAAAAGAGAGTGTTCATTTAATATAGAAATTAAAAAAAAGGAACACCGGAAATTCTTTTATAAGCCTATTACCTATCTATGTTTATTATTAGTACTTAATGCAATCACCTATAATAGCTATGAATAATAAAAGAATTTTCATATTTAATGCAGATTGTCAGAATACTATATCCTCAGGGTGCGATAGATAATTTTCCCTTTTTGTATATTATTTTTAAAAGGTAGGCCATTATATCGGAAATTAGTTTTTTTTTTCTTCTTCTCTTCTCATATTTGCTCAAGGGAATTGCATACAAGTTAGATTTGCATCGTTTTCTTTCTTACCATAACAATAAATTTAGCGTTCAAAAATATTATATCATCGAATAATTTAGCATGCCCTTGCATTTGTATTTGACATGTTTCATTTAGAAGTCAATAGGTAAACTCAAACTAAGTTTTTTTTTTGCTTTGTCATGATGATGAAATGAGATATAATAGATATTATTACCAAAGAAAAAAAAAAAAGAAATATCATTTATGTTACTTATTATTCATTATTAGATATAACTAATTATCAAATGTTTTCAAATAAGTCACAAAATTCATTATCAACACAAAAATTAACATTTGATATTGAGTAGGAACTACTTGTATAAATAAAATTATTTTAATTTGTCTTTTTTTTATTTTAAATATTTTAATAAGAATTAATACACCTTTATCAAATCAAGAAAATAATCATCAACAATCAAATTTGAATTTTTCAAAATTCTTTCGTAATGTATTTAGTCGTTCAAGAAAACATCAAGTTTTACAACAAGGAAACGAAATGAGAACATTATCAAAAACATTAATGAAATCAAATGAAACAACTGAAACATTAGCAAGTGTTACGAATCATGCATCTAATAATGATATATGTTTATTTTCTGATAGTCCACATTATATCGTTCGAGTATGATTTATATATAATCATTTATTATATTAATAAAACAAAAAAAATTTTTAGATTGCTGGAAATGGAAATACAGAGGAATTCGAACGTTTTATTCGAGATGATCCAAGTCAATTAAAAGTAGCCAATCCAGCTGGTCTTTGTGCAGCTCATAATGCTGCTGCTAGAAATCGAGTTGGAATTTTAGCATTAATTGCACAATATAATGAAGGTATTATAATTAAATTTATAAAAAAAAAAAAGTTTTATTAATAACAATAATTTTTAGATTTGAATATTGAAGACAATAATGGTTGGACACCATTACATCATGCTGTACGCAATAGTGCATTGGATGCTATTGAATTTCTTTTGGACAATGGAGTTGATGATGTTCGATTAACTAAACAACAAGAAGCACCTATTCATCTAGCTGTTATACATAATCAATTAAAAGCTCTTGAAGTATGTTTAAATATCTGTTTTGTTTTTCTAAATGGTTTGATCTCATTCTTAACACGACAAATAAATTTATTTAATTACATTGATAATATTTTTTTCAAACTGATGTCATGTTTTTAGCATAAAAATAATTTAATATTCTATTCGAAATTTTAGAAGCGCTCTCAATAGGATTATTACTAGATGGAGATATGAGGAAGATAATCAGTTTCACTGGGAGGGTTTCAGTTCTCTTTTGAAGCATAGTCACAACGATTTCTGCTTCTTCTACAAATGTAGCTTGGATATCAAGTCTCCATCTCCTTCCTGTTGACCTCAGCAATTTGAATATACCTCCTTTAAAACGTCACATTATTAATAAATGAGAAATTCAAAATTATCATAATTACAATAAACTAGTGAAATTAAAATGTGCAACGTTGATAAGTACTTTCGAGAATACGAAAGATAAACTGTACTTTATAATATGTATTTATTTCTTTAATTATAAATAATTTAATAAAATCATATAATAAATATTTTCTATTAAGCTTCTTCTATCTAAACGTCCAGAACGCGTTAATCTTGGTGGTGAAAGAGATAAAACACCACTTCATTATGCTGCTTTAATTGATAATGTTGATGCGGCAAAAATTCTTGTATGTTTATTTCAATGATTATTTTTTTTTTGGTATTATTAATAAAAATAAAATTTTCTAGACAAATCATAATGCTCGTCTTTGTCAACCATGCAGTGCTGGCAGCTATCCAATTCATATAGCTGCATTGAATAGTAGTAATCGAGTATTTAGTCATTTATTTGCAATTGGTAAATCGCTATTTAAGTTTCCATTTCTTTTTATTATTGTCATGTAATTGTAAAATTTAGCTAAATCATTGGGATATCATACCGAACATCTTTTAAATTTTTGTGATGCTGAAAATCATCGACCATTACATTCATCTGTCATTGGTAATTGTTTTTTTTGTTATCGAATAAACTAAAGAAAATAATTGTTTCATTATTTCTATGAAAATCTAGGTGGAAATATTGAAGCTATTGAGATATGTCTCAAAAATGGAGGCAAAATTGATGATCAACAAGAAGATTTATCAACACCTGTTCATTTAGCATCAACACAAGGTTCACTTGAAATTCTTAAATTAATGTTTAATTGTCAATCTGAACTTAAATCAAGAGTTATTCGTATGACGGATATTCAAGGCATGACACCGTTACATAAGTAAATAAACAAAAAAAAAATTTTTTTTTTGCATAATCAAATAATTATTTTTTTCAAGGGCAGCTATGGGTGATCATGTTGATGTTATCGAATTTTTACTTGAAGAAGTAAATTTATTTATTTATTTTTAAGAATTATATATGTATATGTATATATTTGAATTTTTAAATAATTAGGGAGCAGATATTGATGTACGTGATATATCTAAACGAACACCATTATTAGTTGCTGCTTTAAAATCATCAGTACAAGCTGTTTGTTATCTTTTATCTCAAAATGCTTCATTAATTTATCGAGATGAAGCTGATAGAAATTTACTTCATTTTATAATAATGCAAAATTTACCAATTGAAACCATTGGCAATATTATATTTACTCGAGATAATTATCGTATATTATTTGATCAACGTGATCAAGATGGTTTTTATCCAATACATTATGCATCACGTGAAGGACAAGTTAATGTATTAAAAACATTAATAAAACATGGAGCAGAAATAAATCGAAAAACAAATCAAAGACAATCATCATTACATTTTGCTGCTGAGTAAGTAATGAAATATGAGAGACGTGGATACACCAAGTACGATTCGAAATAACTGAAAATAGATGAGTTTGATCTCTATAGGAATTATTTATGAATATCAGAAGGAGATGAAGTTATATCATAATAAGACGAGTTTTTTGTAAACCTCGATTGATAAAATAAATATACTACATGAAATTGTAATTAGTTGTCATGAACGCTTGAATGCTCTAGAAAAGATATGAATACAAGAAGAACAAATAAAACATCATTTGAACTATATCTAGCTAGTCTTTTCTTATGGTTTAATCAGGCTCTATTTTCGAAAAATTTGAAGCCATGCATCAATATCCTATATTATTTGAATCGCTCTATCATAAGAAGAATGACTTTGTATTATTAACTTATATTATCTGTGCACCGTACTAACGAGGGAAGATACTCAAGTGATAAATTGCTTTTAAACTGAAACGATATTCAATCGATAATGTCTACTAAGTAAATATCCTGAAGTAGTTCGAACTGCTGGATCTTTATTGCTAACACATCCACCTTTCATTTGATGGTTTTCGTAGAGTACTAGTTTTCAAGTAAAATTATACTACTAAATTTTTTTGACTTTAAATGATGCTCAGATAAAATCACCGATTAGATTAGCTTATAGAGAAAATTTCAGAATTCTTTTACAAAGTCTCTGGAAAGTATGAGTATTTTAAAATATAGATGTTTGAACATGATTATTATAAAAAACCATGAGCGTTTTGGAAATTTTCTATCAGGGAAATGCTTAATCAAAAAACTTCTGAAATTTTTTCTAGGCCCTATGGATTGAGTATACCTTCCGCTCGAAAGCAATTAATCAATTGGAGGTTTTTCCTTGTAAGTGTTTCTAATGCGTACTTATAAAGACATAGCTCAATCACTTATTATGAATGTGTAAGATTAGGATAAGACTTATCAGAGTCAAAATGAATCCCGATAGTGAGCATGGATAAACTATAGTAGAACGTAACCGGTGGATATTATTAGCATAGTCTACTAGTCTTCACTAGAACATATCCAGGAGATGAGCGCTTTCATCTAATATTGTATACTTGTAAAAGTACAATGAAATTAGCTAGGATCCACGCGAATCCCAGGTCATCATGTCAGAATCAACTATACACTTAAGTGCCAATACTGATCTCATAACGCACTCAAAATATTCATTAATAATTCCAATTGTTTGAAATCACTTGCACTCTATTATATGCATGATCTGTTGACGATATTGATAATTATGGAACTATGTAACATTTATTGAGTAAACATAAAAAAGTCCTTAATTACAGTAGTTAGTTTCAAAAACTTTGATCAATATCATAGATATAGAAAACACAAGCGCTTTTATCTGAACCAATATCTGTTCTAATACCAGAACTAGATTCGAGATAAAGACATATCATTGAAAAATAATTAAATCTATTTTCAGATATGGTCGATATAATACATGTTGTCAATTATTAGACACACCCGGTTTTAAACGTATTCTTAATGAACCAGATAAACTCGGTCAAACACCACTTCATCTTTGTTGTCAAAATGGTCATACACGTGTTGTTCAATTACTTTTACATAAAGGAGCTCAATTTACAAAAACTTATGAAGGAAATACACCATTACATGAAGCTTCTGCTAATGGACATGCATCGACCATGGATGTTATTCTTCAAGGTCATGCTCATTTAATTAATTCAATTAATCGTCTTGGTATGACACCATTACATTTAGCTGCTGCTGGTGGTTATGTTGATTGTGTTGATTTACTTCTTTCGAAATCTGCAACATTTTTAACAAATACAGATGGTGAAACATTTTTTGATTTAGCAATTCTACAAAAACAAAAAGATATTTGTCTTACTATTATTGCTCATGATAGGTAAAAATAGAGTTTTTTTTGTTTTGTTTTTAAATTTTATATTATTTTTATGTTAATAATTAGATGGAAAGAAGCATTAGATTTAAAAAGTTTAAAATATCAAACACCATTACTTGGTTTAATTGAACATTTACCAGAATGTGTACCAGTTTTATTTGATCGATGTATAACTTATAGTCATAATGATAAGAAACATAAAGATTTTCATGTAAGTTTTCTATTATAAAAATTAAAAATGAATATATATATAAATATTTTTTTTTTTATTAAATTTTAGCTTATCTATGATTTTCATTACATTAATTGGACAGATACGAAACAAATCGATGGAAAAGTATATCGTTATCCAATGCTTCCACTAAATGTAAGCAGCAATTTAAAATGATCAAATATAAAAATAACACTTAGATGTGAGCAGACGTAACAAAATTGAAGTAATCGAATGTTTTATAAATAACTCATGCATTTTTTTTCATCAATAAAATCCCTTTTCAAAAGATCTTGGAGAAGCCATCCTATATTTCTATAAGCTAATAGACAAGCCTATTGCAGAGATGTAACCGGTAAACCGACTTGTCTAACCTTTTCAGACTAGTATCAGTACTAGTTGTCAAAGATACAGACTGGTTCCATCTCTATATCAGGCATGTGATACAACTTGACAAATCAAATATACTACGTGATAAACCGTATTCTCTATCTAAACTACATTTTTTTTCCTTCCTGTGACTTATCGATGTATCATGCGTTACCGATAGACCGGTTTCGTCTCTGGCCTATTGATATATTTCATAGGTATATAGTCTTGAATATCTTCTACAGGATTGGATTCAAGAAAAAGTTCAGTTTTACTTAAGTCAGAAGTTTCTGGCGATTTTTCAGAAGACCTAAGATTTCCGTATTGTTGAGCTAAACACCTTTGGAAAGGTGTATAAAAGGATAGATTATCGATCAGACTAAGTCTAAGAATTATAAAAGTTTTCAAAAAGATACAAGAGTCACACGAAATCCAACAATAACTTAGCAAAATAATATTCAGTTATTTCTTTAAAAATTTGAAAACTTTATAATTCCGTCAAAATGCATACGAACTATTTGAAGGAATCAAAATATATTCCGCTTTATACGCCCTCAAATATTTTTGTACATAGATCTAATAAAACATATCCTTCTGTTCGGTAAGATTTTTTGGAAGACTTTCCAAAAACGAAAATAGTTTCTACTGATGAGCTTGACGGTATTCTACATATAAAATAGACTATATTTTAGTTTCTTGAAGTAGTTCAAAGGCATTTTGACAAAACGATAGTGTTTTCAAGTTGTGATAGTAATAACTGAAAATTATCTGGTCGATATTTTATCCTTTTATAAAAAACTAAACTTTTGCTTAGATTTTATTTAAACTCTACGTGAATTCTATTCAGATATGTTTTCAATATAGATGATGGTTAAATTTGGTCGTACAAATCATTTAACTCATCCATTATGTGAAACATTACTTCGTCAAAAATGGATATCATATGGTTTTCCAATTTATATTCTTGATTTAAGTATTTATCTTTGTTTTCTTTTTCTTCTATCATATTTTATAATAACATTTCCATCATGTAATCATCATGATCCAATAAGTTGGAATAGTAAAACGACAGATTTATGTTTAAAAAATAATTTTATATCATTTAAAACAAATGCAACAACATTTCAAATTATAAGTATTTGGTTTATTGTTTTATATTGTTTTTTAAATTTTATTATGGAAATTATTCAATTAATACATGATGGTTCTGAATATTTTTCTGATATTGAAAATTATATACAATGGATATTATATGTTACAACAAGTGTATTTACATTACCATTTTTATTTGATCAATCATGGCATTATCAATGGGTTGCTGGTTCAATTAGTATATTTACTGCTTATTTAGCATTATTATTTCTTCTTGGTCGATTTTTTATTTATGGTATATATGTAATTATGTTTTTAGAAATAATGAAAACATTATTACATGTTTTATCTTTATTTTCAATATTAATATTTGGTTTTGCATTAACATTTTGTGTAACAAAACCATTTTCTCACGTAATATATTTAATAAATTAGGAGAAGATAAAGTTATTAAGTGGAACTTCATTCAAAGATTATGACTATTTCAAACACAATGTACATATAGAAAAATCGAACAATAGGATTTCAATCTGAAATATTGCTCATATGTAGTCTTCGTGATCATTGGAATCGTCTGAAAGTTTTCTGTTGAAAATAACAATTCTTAATACCTTCAGTCATAATCTATGAACTCCAGAAATATTTATTTTATTTTTAATCATTTAATATTACAACAAGCAATCCTATTTTTTTTTTCACTAGAACTTTAAGCGTGTTCCAATGATCATGAAAATTACATGTGAGCTATATTTTAGGTTGAAATTCTGTTGTTCGATCTTTCTTTTCTCATAAATTAGAACAATTAATGAATCTCCCAGAGGTCATGTAAGATGCGCAGTAACACTACTAAATAATAACCGGTTCACAAGGAGGTCTCACTAACAAGAGAATCTCTACAAGTGTTAATCGCCGATCGAGCTTGTTTTTTATCCATAAGTAAGACTCAATGAGACAAGTAGAATTCCGGAAGGATTCATCTCCATACGCTATCCTTCCGGAGTTACGATTGTTTTACTGGTTTTTCGACCTCCGGCAATGGTATTTATAGGGAAGTCCAACAATGGAATTTCGTCCATAAACAGGTCACATAGTCACTAGAATGTCCTAACAGTTTCAGCTAAAATAAATGTTTCTTTCTCGAGATATTGAATTTTCAAAGAACGATCATATTTCAACAAGCAAAGGTCAAAAAAAAGTCGAGCTTCTTGAAAACTCAATATCTCGAAAAAGAAACATTTATTTTAGCTGAAACTGTTAGAACGTTCTAGTGACTATGAGACCTGCTATGGACAATATTCTATTGTTGGGCTTTCCTATAAATACCATTGCCAGAGGTCGAAAAGCCAGTAAAACGGTCGTAACTCCGGAAGGACAGCGTATGGAGACGAACCCTTCCGGACTTCTACTTGTCTCATTGAGTCTTACTTATGGGCAACATATGAGCTCAATTGGTGATTAACACTTGAAACCTTCTTATTAACTCAATATGACTTCAAACGATGGATATCAGTTGAAGTTATTCCTTCGTAAACGCGAAACCAGAACCAAAAAAAACTAGAAAATTAACAAAATTTATTTGTATTATCTATGAAACTTTAGGAGCTTGATGTATCAAATCCACATCATTTATTTATGGTTATGCTTAAAACTATAACAATGATGTTAGGTGAACTTGATTATGAACGTTCATATTTTGAACATCCAAATGATCAACATTTTAATATAACTAATTTAATAATATTACTTCTATTTGCAATTATAATGCCAATTCTTCTAATGAATTTACTTGTTGGTTTAGCTATTGGCGATTTAATGCAAATTCAACAAAATGCTCGTTTAAAACGTCTTGCTACACAAGTTTGTTTTCGCAAAAACAAAAAAAAACAAGTTTTTGTTTTTTTTTTTCAAATTTTTTTCTTTTCATATATTTAGGTTCAACTTCATACAAATCTTGAAAAGAAATTACCAAGTAAATTAATTCAACGTTGGACAAAAAATGAATATATTGTGTATATTAATAAAGGTATTTGTAATCGTTTTTCAACATTATTTAAAGAAGTAAGTTAACCATGAATATGAAAAATATTATAAAAAAAAAAAAACTTGTTTTTTTTTAGTGGATTTCTAAACCTCTTGATACAAATGATGTATTAAATGCATGTGAAGAAAATTGTACTGAAAGAGTTTTATTTTTAGAATTATATAAACAAAAACGAAGGTAATATTTAATAGATTTAGAGATTCTTTTTTTTGATAAAATGATTATTTTCGTAGACAAAAAAATATGCAACATCAATTAGAAAAAATTACTGATCTTGTTCGATTAGTTCTTCAAAAAATGGAAATTCATACTGAAATGGAAAGTAATGATACAACATCAAATGATAAAAATGAAAATTTTATAAGAATGCAAAAATTTCGACAAGTATTTAATATTACACGTCGATTTTCTCATGCACGTCCTTCAAATGGAAATATTCCACATTTATTTACTCATTCCGAAGAAGCGTAACTTTGTATATACGTATTTATATATATATATATATATGGTGTTTGTAAATCTGTTTTGTATATTTTAAAAGGAGAAATTAAAATACAGAATAATTTTAAATTCTTCTGATTTTAAGTTCTTCAGTAACATATATAAATTATTCTTATATTCAAGAATCCTTTTAGTTGATTTAATTCAAATAATTATATAAAAATTCGCATATAAAATATTTTTTTTATCTGTATGAATTTTTTATAATATGCGAAAAAATTATTTATGTTTTGCGTTTTTTTGTCAAATAAATATATCACAAAAATACACATAAAATTTTCAAAATATTTTATTTTTTTTTGTTACTTATTTTATGTAATTATGGAATTGAGAGAATTATTGTTTTCAGAAGATCTATCTAAACAAGAATAATTTATGTACCTTTCATCAGGGTTATCTACTGAAAAACGAAAGAAATGTTCCGACTATAATGAATGAGATATTGTACAAACTCTTGTGACATTTTCACTTCTCAATTAATCATAATAGTCATAGAACTATTGAATTTCTATATTTTTCATATGCCAATTCTGATAATAACATTACTCATCAATGCATATTCTAAACCAGATGATTAACCAAAAAAAAATTAAAACGCTACACAGAATGGTTTCTTTTTTTCAATGATTAAATATCTTCGAGAATAAATCATATTTTTTACATAAATTGAATGTTGTAGAAATTTTCTTATATATTTATTCATTTTCTTTTGTATTCATTTATAATCACATGTCAATTATATTTCAATATGTAAATTAAATAAAAACTTTGAAAGAAATAAAAAAAATATATTTTATTAAAAATTCTATTCGTGCATATTAATTAAGTTAAATGAAGGTCATATTGATATATTTTCTTTTTTCTCTATTATAATTTCTGTTCTCTATAAATCAAAAGACATTGAATATTAATAACATAACAAGACAAAAAAAGAACCTATTGATTTTGTTTGATTAATTATATAAAAGATTTTTGTCATTAATAATCATTACCTATAATATTAAAAAAATCAAGATTTGTATTAGTGATAGACAAATAAATTTATATCTCATTTTAAAAACCAAGAAAAAATATACATTAAACTATAAATAATTGGTATTAATCAATCATATATCATTATTGACAAGCATACGATGATGAGCCTAAGACATTGTATAACTCGATCATTTACTTTCATACATTAATTACATAGGAGAAGAAGAAAAAAAAAAAAAAAAAAAAAACGTATCATCATTTATTTAATAAGCTTCGCCCATGAAAAGTGAGTAGTGAGCCTTAGCATCATCAGTTAATCGATGTACATATGTACGTGTTGTACACGCAATAAATAGGTGAGGCGGTTATACCTGTCCTTATACGTGTGTGCATGTTAGAAATGAAATAAAGTGACAGTTGTAATGGGTCTTCTCGTTTATCAAGATATAGAACAAAGTTTGCAACTAAATTTATTATAAGAAAAAAAAAAAAAACTCGAATGGAATAATAAACATATGTTTTTTTTTTTTATTTAAAAAGTAACTTATTATATAATTATATGATATATGTCAAATAGAGGAAGCAAAAAAAAAAAGAAGTATTTGATATATCGTTTTCTTTTGCATATTTTTTTATTACTATTTGATGATAAAATCATATTTTTGTGTATTAAATGACAGGTTTAATTACTAATTATAATATTTTTGTCTGTTTTTTTTATAGAAACTTGTTTCTTTCTTTCTTGTACTTTTTTTCTTTTTTAAATGAAAAACATAAAGATTCTTAAATCATTTAAATTCATCTTAGTAAGAATCAATCTACTATGATGTATTATATATTAAATGACTTTATCACATAATGTGCTGGTTGCTAGTTGATTTAGTATTACGTACGATCACATTAAAACGATGAAAAGAAAGGTATTACTTCTTTTTTTTCTTTCTTTCTTTCTTTCTCTTACAACCAATCATGTGTAAAAAAAGAGTGAACTTGTTTTATTCTCTTACTGTATCGCGTTATCATGATTTTCATTGGTGTTATAGATTCGGCATATTTATTTTGATTTATAGACAGTAAGCAAACGAGAGATATAGAGAGAGACAGCAAGAAAAACAAATCATAATTATATATTACGACAATTATTCATTAGAAGAAGAAGAAGAAGAAAAAAAACAACAGAAAAAAGTAACGACTATATATAAAATGGTTACAAAACCTACAAAAGATTTTAGTGTAGCATTTCTTTTACGAGATAATAATCATGATTATGATTTAAATTATTTATCGGAATCTTCATCAACAAATTCAAATTCAATTTCAAAAACAATAAATTCTAAACAATATGATTTCTCTGGTAAGTTTAAAAATTTTGTTTTAAAAATATTTTATGAAAAAAAAAAATTTAGATCAACTTGAACCAAAATTTTGTTCATTACGTAAACATAAAAATGATAGAAAACCACGTACACCATTTACAACATCACAATTACTTGCATTAGAAAGAAAATTTCATGAACGACATTATTTATCAATAACAGAACGTGCTGAATTTTCTTTATCACTTAATCTAACAGAAACTCAAGTAAAAGTATGTATTTAAAATAAATTTTTCAAAAATATAATTATTATTATTATAATAATAGATTTGGTTTCAAAATCGTCGAGCTAAAGAAAAACGTTTATCAGAAGCTGAATTAGATAAATATCGTTTTATACAATTAAAAGATCAATTAACAAAACAATTCGAAATGACATCAGCATATTTTTCTTTTGCATGAACTAAAAAAAAAAAAAAATTGTTTTCTTTTTTTTTATTATTTCATTTTTTGTAAAAACTAGTCTTCCTTTTTTTTTTTTATACATATATATATATGCGTCTATTTATTGACGATTAAATGTTCTTATTCTCTATTAAATGCATTTGTTAATAGTCGATTAGCCTCATCGACCGAATAGCAATTGACTCGTTGTGTCACGTCTCAACCATTCAATGTTTATATATATATATATATTTACAAAGACAAACGGTTATTGTATTCAACTAATGAGATAGTTACTATCATTTTGTACTAAAAGAGAATATCAGATTTATACATATATATATATAATTATCTGGAAAATAAGTTTTTCTTATTGATTTCTAAATTATATTTTGAAAACTTTTCAAGATTAAATTTCAACACGATAAGAATATACTTGAAAAATGGATACAAGACTTGATAATAATTAGAATGTATATAATAAAAACAAACATTCAGTATAATTAGAAGAGCCTATAGGATTCAAAATTTTCGAAGTTGACTGACATACTCTCAATAAAAATTTCAAAATTGGAATAGGATAGTTGATTGGAAGAGATACAAGATATTTTTACTATCAATTTTAACAAAAACTTCTCACTGATTGATTAAGAAACAACACTGACAATAGTCGTCGCTTCCTTCTGAAATGTTTTTTTTTTTCTTCAAAACCGAACCGACATGTTTCATGATCATCTCATATTTTACTCGAAAATTCTAGATCCACAATTGAAGCCTTTTAACAATCCAGATGATTTCGAGACACACCTACTATAAAATAAGCTTTTATTAACATATAATTTTTGTTTTCAAACTCATAATAAAAATATGAATATACAACTATCTATTTGTTGAATTAAGAACAACCCTTTAATACATAAGATATAAAAAGCTACTCTTAATATATCTATCGATCTCTCATTTTCTCAATGTTCATGTTATATACTACTCAAAGTATACAATTTTGATATATTTCGTTAATTGTCTCTCTATATTATCTTTCTTCTCATTTATCACATACCTCCTTCGAAAAACAAACGATGAAGATAACCCCATTAATTTTTCTCAATTATCAATATCATGTATATTAATGTCACGCATCTATACTACTCAATAGTTGAAGGACGATAAAAAAAAAAAAGAATTGAAAGTTTGTTTGCATGTTCAAAAATGTCAAAAAAAAAAAAATGAAACTCATCGATTTAAGTGAATAAATTTTCAATTGTCTGTCATTGACTTTGAAACAGAAAAAAAAAAAACGACAAAATTTGCATATCAAATTCTCTGATTTTATTTTTTCTTTCATTAATGAACATCATGCTAGGTTCTGTCCATAAAATGTCTACAATCGATTATTAAAAGATGTGACAAAACAATGATTATTTAATTGCAAGAATGTGATATGTATGAGAGAAGAAAGCAGGTGAACCATTCCATTTTTGTTTTTTTTTTTTTGACAATCGAATATTAAATCTGTTCCAAATCATTGAATCACATGGTGATAGAAACGAAAAAAAAAAAAAAGAAATATATATATATAAAATCAAATTTTGATCAGTGAACACACAACAACCGTTCAACACTTGACTAGTGACGAGCCTCAATGCACATCATAATAGTCATTTAGTTTAATGATATGTGAATGATGTCGAATGAATAAAAATGTGAAAAGATTTTCATGAGAAAGAAATGAATATTTCATCTGGCTTATTGATTATTACATTCAATTGTATATATCTGTATTTTTTTTGTTAAAAGAGACCGATATCCATATTTCTCTTCAAGAGGCATCTGGATAGTGATCTAAACTTTTTTTTCATCAAACGATTTACTTTCATTATAATAAAGATCATTAAATCGATGATTTTTTTTTTTTTGTGTTCTTTTTATTAATGTGTTGTTCGAAGATCAGTCTATATTACATCATGAAGAAGAAATCCAATCATGAAAAAAAAAAAAAAAAAAGAAAAAACTATGCATATGTCAGATGCATATTATCATACTCGTTGCGCTTGTCAATCGTATACAGTGATAGATGCTTTCTTCACCTATCATCTAATTGCCCCCTAGAGTCTTGCTATTTAGAATTAACCTCGTCAAGAAAACGAAACAAAAAAAACAACATCAAATCAAACGTGAATTTGTCATTTTCCTCACGTTGAATGTCTGTCTCAAACTGAATGAACGTAAGAGGCGGATACCTGTCGAGATTAAATTATTGGGATTTGTTCTATATACGATTAATGATAGTTTTATTTTGATTGATCCTTTCGATTTTTTTACTTTCTTCGTACTTATTATCATTAAATAAAGATGCACACAATGATATGTTTTTTTTTTTTAGGAAAGAAAAAAAGAAAGTAATATCCGTTTCAGGGATAAGCTTCTATTTCCTTTTTCTCATCGATCAAAGAGAAAGAAATAAGAATTCTTTTTTTTTTTTTTCGTCCAATAAACGATTTTCTTCTACTTAGTTCAATGCTCAAACCAATCAAATTTTTTTTTCTTCTCTTCGTTCTAGAAGAAAGAAAAAAAAAAAAAAAAAAAAAAAAAACTAAATTTGACTTCACAAATTAGAATTAAATCTAACGAACAATCGTTAAACATGGAATTACCATTAAAAATATCGAAACGTAATACTGATTTTAGTATACGTTCATTAATTGATTGTTCACAAAATGATATACAACATTCCTCATCTCATACAACAAGTCCATCGAAATCAACAAGTAATGAAAGTCTTCAATATTCTCCATCATCTTCATCAACATGTACTGGTGGTAGTAGTATTATTACTCGATCATCTTGGTCACAAAATACTAATACACAATTACATTGGTTACCTGATGCTGAAATTATTGATAAAGCACGTAAGTAAACTATTTCAAAAAAAAGAAACATATATAGTTATAGAAAAGATTCTTTAGAGAATTCAATACTATGAAGTGTTTTTATTTTTTCAATTAGACATAGAAGGACATCATTTCTTCTTGTTTTTATTAATTTTACGGAAATAACTAATAAGAGATTTTTAATAGAAAATTGATCGTTGTTTTTTGTTTTAAATATAATATTTTATTTGATAATATGTTCTCTTTGAATTATTTTAGGTAATAATGAATTACCAAAAATTAATGCAAAAATTTGTTCATTACGTAAACATAAACAAAATCGAAAACCACGTACACCATTTACAACATCACAATTATTAGCATTAGAAAAAAAATTTCGTGATAAACAATATTTAACTATTGCTGAACGTGCTGAATTTTCAGCATCATTAAATCTTACTGAAACACAAGTTAAAGTATGAATTCTTTTTGATTAATTTAAATACAAAAAAAAAACACAATTTCTTTCATTTAGATTTGGTTTCAAAATCGTCGAGCTAAAGAAAAACGTATTGCTGAAGCTGATGCAGAAAAATATCGTTTTCTACAAATGAAACATCCATTAGCTGTTGCTGCTGCTAATGTTCTTCATCATCATCATAATCATCATTCATTGTATAATTTTATTTCACCTGTAACTACAACATGTTCATCATAAAATGAAATATCATCTAGTCAAATATATAAATGACAATAATAAAGACAATTATAATATGACATTTACAGTGAGAGAAAATTCATCATAGTTTTTATGATTATTTTCTTTCTCAATCTGTTCATATTTACATATGTTTACAGTTTTGTTTTGGTTTTTTTTTTTGTTTTCCATAATAATAATAATAAGAAGAAGAAAAAACTTATCTTGTCATCAGTTTTTGTTTTTTTTTATCGTTTAATGATTCTTGAATTGAGTTAAATATGTATACGTAATTTATGCTGTCGATCGTATTGTGTGAAATGTAAACGATCTAAAACAACCTTTTACTGACGACAACAACCACACCCTATCGAAAAATCTAACTATAACAACAGACACGTCTCATTTGTGTTTATATTCAATAGTATATATTTTCTCTAATCACCATCTATAGATCGAGTTTCAACCGAATAATCATTTAGGCCAAAAGGTCAACATATCAAGTGAGATCGATGTCTATTAGAAATGTATACATTCACATGCATATTGCTTGTTATTTTATTGTCAAATCGATGAGTATCTATTTGATTCAATGAACTTCAAAGACATATGAATCAATTATGTGTCTCCTCCTATCTAATTTAATGATGATGAGCATATATCCTTAACAAAAAAGAAAGACAAGAAAAAAAACAATTATTCGGTATCAAAAGTAAGATCTTTCTCAATGATAGAAAACAATATACATGCAGATATAATCAATGAAAAAGATGAAACAACATTGTCATAATGTATTATTTGGTTAATAAGAAATTTTTCAACATATCATTACTTTAGAACATAGTTCAAACACATTGACAAAAGACAACATTTCAATATCGATTAATATCACAATATATCTATCAGAATTCAAATGAGAAGAAAAAAAATACTTTACTCATATTCAAAACATTTATGATTAGTAAAATCAATCAATATTAATTTTTTTTTCTCTATTGATTACATACAATAGTAATATTGATAAATATCTTTGATAGTTCTTAAGAAAACAAATAAATGTATTTTTAACAAAGAATTTTTTCTTTTTCTTAATCTTATCATTTTATGGTTATAGAGAATATTATTTAAAACTTTGTTTCTATTAAAAAATTAATATAGAAAATCAAAGATGGATTATATGATGAATTCAAAATCTGTATGATTAGAATAGAAACAAAATTTCTTTTTTTTAATATCTTATTATTTATTGTACCATTTTGATAATTAATAATTCAAGACAGAATAACTGCTATAAAAGTGAGGTTTCGTTTATGTTGTAGGCAAAATTCGAATTCTAACATTGACTAGACACACACTGATCAGTCAGATTTGAAATTCCAGCTGTGCGCATGGAGAAAATTAGAATTTAACTAGACATAAAATCATGTGTCTTATTAAAAGTAGAGTGAAATTAAAAAAAATTGAGATATTTGCGATACATTAGATACATGCGTTAGATTAATCTAATTAAAATGTTTTGCTTTGTATATTTGATCACAACGTTTTAAATTTTTATTAAATAACTAATATCTAAAGCTTCTTTGCATGAATACGTAATAGAATGTCTCGTCTAT